AACGCGAAGAAATCACAACTGTCACCATCGCAACATCTCCGATTCCTGGGCGTAGAACTGGAGACCGACACCGGCCGATTCTCCATCGGTCCCGACCGGCGGGCCTCACTATATGCAACCATCTGGAACCTCCTGAGCGCAAGCAAGGCATGCCGACCAGTCCCGGTCCGCCACGTGGCCAGAATCACTGGCATGCTTGCATCGATGGGTGTCGCACTTGGCGCGACCGCTCGCGCATTCAGCCACGCTATGTTACAAGTGATCAACGAAGCACCGTCATGGAAAAGCAGCGTGGTTATCCCCCCATCAGCAGCAGAGGAGCTCCAATTTTGGCTCGAGGAATTTGACCGTTTCAACGGCGCACCTTTTCACGTCAGGAACAGCTACGACGCAGTAATCCATGTGGATGCCAGCTCTCATGGTTGGGGCGCCACTCTGACCACATTTCCGGGCGGCGTCGAAGAAGCTAGCGCAACCATGTCAGAGCCGCTACAAGGAACGTCCAGCACGCGACGGGAGATCGAAGGCGTCCTGTGGGCGCTCCAAACATACGTGACCAAGATCAAGCAAAAACACGTTCTCGTGCGGGTGGACAACCAGGGCGTGTTCTTCATCCTTCGAAAAGGCGGCTCTCATAGCCCCGACCTCGCAACGGCATGCAAGAGCATCATCCAAACATGCATGGAGCTTGGCACGCGCTTGATCATCGAATGGATTCCGCGCGAGCTCAATACACACGCCGACGAACTTTCAAAAATGGTCGACCACGACGATTACGTGCTGAAAACGCCGTGGTTCCGCATCTTGGAACGTCGTTGGGGGCCCCACTCCATCGACCTCTTCGCAAACTCCCGCAACACCCAACTGCCGCGCTTCTGCACAAAGATTCCCCACCCAGAAGCTATCGCAGTTGATGCGTTCTCGATCGCGTGGACACCCGAAAACAACTTCGCCTTCCCCCCGCCCCAACTGGTCCCAGCCGTCCTCCATCACGCATAACGCACCCATGCATCACTCACACTGATAGTTCCGCACTGGCCAGGCGCAAGCTGGTGGCCACTTTTGCAACCCTCCCCATGCACTTGGGCTCCACACATCCACGCGCATATCCCTCTGACACACGGAAGCCAATGCCTAGACGCAGGGTCCCATTCCAATGCTTTTTCAGGCATGGGACTACCGCACAGCCCAATTATTGCACTGAGAATGGCAATTGACTAATTCAAAACATCAACGCCCTGTGTTCAGATTTGCTCCCAAAGTTACACGACCAAATGATCAACATGCTCGCGCAATCTCGCGCCGATTCTATGATCTGGACATACGAACCATACTGGGCCAAGTTTCGAGCCTTCTGCACAAAAGTGAACCTCCCATTTCTTCCGGCATCCGACATGACCCTCGCGCTCTACTTGGTATACGCAATCCGACGCAAAGCCACCCTGTCCGTAGTGCAGCTGACGTGCTCGGCGGTCAGCTTCACTCATCGCATGACTGGGAGCAAATGCCCGACAACCGGACCGTTCACCACCCAAGTCCGTGACTGTGCAAAACGACACCGCCCTCGCCCTACTCGTATGAAGGAACCCGTATCGATCCAACAAGTCCGGGACATGGCCGCGAGTTACTTGCAGTCCGACGATCCCGCGACGTTTCAGAAAGGGTTGATCCCCATCCTCATGTACTCAGGATTCCTGCGATATTCGGACCTGGCAGCCATAAAATGGCAAGACATCCAATTCGACGACGAGGTCATGTGGATTCTCATACCACACTCCAAGACCGATCAGGCTGGTCATGGCACTTGGATTCCCATTGCAGCAACGACACACCCTTGTTGCCCAGTGCGCTGCACCCGACGCTTCATCCAACTGGCCGGCTATGGCCCACAGTCAGAGGGACCATTGATTCGGGTCTTCGTCCACGCTTCAATCAGCGAGGGCCAAGCAAGGCCACCCTCATACACCACGATCCGGAACTGGTGCAAGGAAGCCTTCGCAAAAGTGGGCCTTGGAGACCTGCATCTCGGGACACATTCTTTCCGAAAAGGTGTAGCCACAGTAGCAGCCAACACGAGCGTGCCAGACAGGGTCTTCAAACGGTTGGGCAGATGGCGAAGCGACTCAGCAAAGGAAATGTATGTTACACCATACGTCGAGCCTCTTATCGAAGCCTCCCGTAACCTACAAGACCTGACGCATGCAGCGTCATCGGCACAACACTCAGAGGCACTCGTACGCAACCGGAGGCCCCCGCTGGCCATGTCTCAGAGACCCCATTTGTAATGAGAACGATGCCAATTGATAAGAATAAGAAAGCAAGCTTTCTCAATATTATAATTTTTAAACGCACATTGTGTTTTTTAAAATTGTGTATTGTGAAAGCGAAGCTGCTTGTACTGCACAATTGGCATCGTCGAAGCGCGCTAAACGCCCTTCTCCAACTACAAAAACCGTGGGTTGGAGTTCATTTCCCTCCACCCACGTTTCTCGATTTTCAAACGGCTCACTCAACATTCCCACCACCCACCCCAGAGTAAACCGCCTTGCTAATGCCACTTGGATAGGGTACATCTTAGCTAGTGTTATTCGATTGCACTAGCTTGTGTTCAACGGTGATGCAAATGTTGTAATAAGCCATTTGTAATGAGAACGATGCCCATTTGTAATGAGAACGATGCCAATTGATAAGAATAAGAAAGCAAGCTTTCTCAATGCTTTTAGGGGGGAGGGGGGTGGGGGGGGTTGATTCACCGACGTGATTTCTGCCGCGATTTGCCGGAGTCACCAGAATTGCGCGTCGCCAAGACCGCTCGCGTCGCCACAGCCACAGTCCCGCAACCTGTACCCGTACCACATACATTTTGCCTGCCTGGCGGTGACACACAGCGCCACACAGGTGTGCATCGTCCAGGAGAGTCCTGCTTGGTCCCTTCCTCCCTCCCCACCAGACCACCACCCACCGACCAGCCGCTCTCACCCAACCCCAACCCAGTCAGTTCATTTTATTCATCCAGTTTTCCTCCTCGTGGTCTCGTCTAGGGTTTGCAGACCATGCCTTCCTGCTGCTATTATAAGCATAGCTCCAGCATCTACCTCCAAGTCCCTCATCATGGCTGTTGTCACCAGCGGTGAGGATGACGACGAGGCTCGTCGTCATGTCCTGCACTCACCCTCATGAAAGGGCCTTCGCTTTTTAACAGTGCCTTCTAAGCGACTGCTTGAACCAGAGCCCGTCGTTGCCTCTACTGAGGCTGAGACCGTGCTGGCTGAAGCGGGGCGTGACGTGCACCACGACGCCTGAACTGACACCACGAAAAGCACAACACATGTAATGGAGAATACCGCTGCTGCTCACAACTGTGCTGCCAAGAAGCTGAAATCTGGTTCGTGTTCGGCACGGCAAAAGTGGCGGCAGCAACCTAAGTCGAGTTTCACTCGCGGGGCTCATGCATACGGTAGCATTGTTCAATGCTGGCAAGAAGCGCCGCCCTGCTCAAGAGTTCCTATACCGTATTAACTTGTGCTCACTGCTAAGCTTATTCTGTTAGAACCAGGCACTGGTGCTTTAGTTGCTCTGTTAGTTAGTGCCATCTTTAATATGTAATCTACGCTTAAGTCTAAACATGAAAGGGTGAAAACAATGTGCACACTGATGAGCAAGAGTACGGTACCTTTCCAGCTGACACTGATAAAAAAGACTGACATGGCTGACCCACCCTTACTGAAAGACCAACTTCAGCGAACTGGCCTTGCGAGTAAGAGTGCCCCAAATCCTATCCAGAGGCCTGATTACGATCAATATATAACCTTAACCTTAACCTCTGGAAGTTCGACAAATCACAGGCAGGCTGAAACCTGCTGCGCAAGTTGATGTGCTGCTGCCCGAACAACGTGACGATACTGTATAGATGTACGGAGCAGCATTCGATGCCAAGCCTTCACATGGTTATCTTTCAGAGATGGGACACTGGGCAGCTAGAAAGACGAGGATCAGCGGAAGGGGGAATGCAGTCACACAAATGGCCAAACGACGTGAAAGTCGCAGTCGTCTCCACGTTTAGCTTCCTCAATTGGTCGAAAAGGTTCCAACGCCACACTTGTTTGCTGTAATTGAAACTTTATAAGTGTTATCCTTTCTGTTAAATGGTTTCGATGAATTTAAGGGAATCATTGCTCGTGTGATTCGCTTAGCTTCCTCCCATTGATGCACAAACTTCATTCATCACAATATATCTTACAAGAACTAGAGGTTGGTAGTAGTCTGCATCCAATACCCAATCATGCTAATACCTATCCCCCAACCCTGTTCCCTTTCAACTGTTTGAGTCCATACAAATAGTCCCTTCCTTCTGGTCCCACAAGAGGACACAAGTTAGTGAAGTTTCACATGGCACTTGTTCTTCTTGATCATCCCATCCACCTTCTTCACCAGCCCCTCATAACTGGTTACCACCTTCACCTTCGCTCCCGACAGGTGCGGGTAAATCCTCTCATACGCCCCGCCTTTCACCTCCTGACCCTCACGAAAGTAAATGATATTCTTTCCACCAAAGAAGCTCTCCACAATGCTGCCCCCTCCCTGCACACTCACGAAACACACACTCCGCGCTAGCATCCTGAACTGCACGTCATTGAACCCCAAGTCTGGCCACCGCTTTTGAAGGTTTTGCATGACTTGCAGCCGTGGATTCTTCCCATACCGCTCCTGTAACGCATCATAGTCCCCCAAATCTGTGCCGTCCTTAACAACCTGCCAGTGGTCTGACTCCAGTGACATCCCTGGGTTGTTGTACACCACATAAAATCCCGCCTCTAAGTATGACTCAACGATTCCCAATAGAGTCGGTATATTGATGAAATTTACCGGAGAATGGCCCCACTCCCGCTCGTATTTATTCCCGATCACCACCAACCGGGATCCCTTGGGAATCTCCGGCCACACAGGCGGAAGCTTCCTGAAGTAGTGTGCAAGAGGGGGCGGCTGCCAGGCTGGCGGGATGCGACTATAATGAATGCCATGAGGAAACCCGTATGCAGCGACATTGTCCTTCATGTTACTTCGATAACACGTGGCGTCATCTGTGTGGTTGGGGCTGAAGCAGTAGATCGAGGCCAAAGAATGCCGCCCGCAGGAGGTGGTGGAGCGGAGGGAGCCGTTGAGATGGTGCCAGAAGGCGAATGGGAGGACGGCGATTAGCTCGTACCCGAACTCGCCCTGAAAGAAGATGTCAACGCCACCTTGGGATTGGGAAGAGGGTTGCGCCAGCTCTGGTTGAGTTGGGGGGAGCTGTGGTGTGGCGTTAGTTTTTGCGAGCAGCTCCGACCTTTCTTCTGCTGTCTCAACTGCTTCTGCATTTGTGGTTTCCTCTGCTGCGGCTGCTTCTGGCGTTGCTGCTGCTTCATTATCTGCTTCTGTTTTCTTCACTGCTTCTGTTTCTTCAGCTGCTGCTCCTTCTGCTGATGTGGTCGCTGGAGTCTCTTCTAATGAGTTTGACTCGTTCCCTTCATCAATCACCTGTTTTTCAGCCGACACCCCTTCATTCACATCCGCGCTTCCGCCCTCCATGCTCGTGTGGCTCACACGTCCTTTCACAAACAATACCTTTTCCGTCTCCCCTCCCCCCTTCTCCTCATCCTCGCTAGCAGCAGCATCACTATCTCTCCTTTTCCCCCCCGCCGCTACCCCATCCCCCAACCCAACCTGCTCTGCTCCCTCTCCCTCCACCTCTTCGCTTACACCGACCAGGTTCCCCGTCGCTTCCGCCGAGGTCCGTACCACCACGCTATCCAAACCCAGCCCCGCCCGTACTTCCGCCCCCTCTCCGGGCCGATCCCCCATATTGCAGCCCCAAATGCGCCACGGGGCGACGGCGATGCTTCCGCCGTCCCCTGATGCTGTGCGGCGGAGGAGGAACTGGCGCAACGGGACTGTGTCGGAGGCATAGGCGGAAGAATGGGCCGCGGACTCTTTCCCTGAGAGATACGTGGAAACACGCGCCAAAGACGATAAAAAATTGTGGGAACATCTTTAGAGGAAGCACGAGAAATGAACCAGCAGCATAGAGCGATCGGGAAAAGCAGAAGTCCAGAGATTTCACTTCATTAAAGCTCCAAATTCTCACTCCGAGTATGCATGAGTAGCTAGAAGCGCCTTCAGCGGGCACGCGGACAATAGCTGAGAGTGTAATTGCGAGTTCACGGGCGGGCAAGGCACGGGAACGAATCAGCTCGCACTCACACTCAGGGTGGGCCGTGTCCAGTGGCGGATCGACCATGCAACCAAGAGGCAGGCCTGGCACGCGGGTGCGTGCACACGAAGGGCGTAGCGGGGACAGGGCAGGGGCGAAAGAGGAAAGGCGAAGAGGTACGAGGGGAATGAGGCGAATGGACAGGGGAAGGGAGACGGGAAGAACTTCAAGTTTTTGACACTGTATGATGCAAGGGACGCTTACGATGCTTGTGCCTCTCCGAGAATTCTCAGCAGTCATGCTTCCGTACGGTGTATTACAGCTCAGAAGGAGAAGTAGATGGCAAAAGTGACTAAGCAACAGGCGAGGGAACTAGAGTTACGGCGGAGGTAGCGGAGGGCGGAAACGGGAGGGCAGGGAGGGAAAAGGGGACGTGCTCTTTTACCCGAGAAGAATATTCTAGCAGTTAGTGACGCAGCGACGACGGTAATCATCAGCCACCATAGGATTTTCTTTACGCCTCCGCGTACAAAGCTTTTCGAGGCTAGACCGGTGAACCCGAATGGCTTTTCCGTGTGCGGCAAAATCGCATGATTGCAGCAATCGGCATTCCCGACGCCACGCGAGCACGCATCTTCCTCATCGGAGAACGAGATGCCGTTTTTGCAACACATCACAAAAAACCCGGTTCAGGTTGGAGGTGGGTTTGGTGGTTTCGAGGGTGGCATTTGACAAAAATTGCCAGGCGCAACTTTCCGCTCCATTTCCGACTGAAAACCGGCGGAAGTCACTGGTCAAAGTTGGGTTTTGCCGAGAAATGCAGTGGCGACCGAGTCGCGTCAAATTCCACTCGGTGCCTCTTGATTTCCAGTTAATTTCAGGCGGGAATGAGATGGGGGGCGACGAGACCATAATATAGGCAAAACTGAATATTTGAAATGCGTCCAGTTTTCGCATCACCCAAGACGAACACTTCACCTCTGAGCTTATACATCACACATGTTAAAAACTGCATTGTGTGAGTAGATTAGAAGATCATAGACATGCAAACATTTCATTTTTAATTCATGTCAATAGTTGTGTGAATCATGAATTTGCTTGTTCCGGAAGATTTCAATTTAAATTCATTAATCAAAAGCGACACTATTTAACTCATGGTACACAAAAATGTGATCCTACACAGTATTACATTTAGTATCAATATATTGTTTCGGGACGTCCGATAATAAACGTCTGCATAATGTTGCACCACGAATATGTCGTGTCGTGTCAACGTGCTGTATCGACGTCCGATTGTCATTTTGTGTCAAACTTATATGCTATAGTCTATGTAGGCTGTAGTGTGGTTGACTATATGGGGTACAACATTTCTAGGTTTTCCTACTTGTACCCACCTGCTTGATAATTCATTCATCCTTAGTCTGCTCTTAGTGTCTGTTTCTGCGCACCGACACCTCTTTGCCGCCGTTCTACATCCTCGTGTACGTCGACGACTTGGTCTTTGCCACTGCTGACACTGCTGGACTCGCCTACGTGAAGTCCGAGCTGCACAAGAGACACACGTGCACAGACCTGGGTGAACTGCGCAACTACCTTGGCTTGCAGATCACCCGGGACAGAACACAGCGCACCATTACTCTGACTCAGTCACACATGGTGCAGCAGGTCCTTCAGCGCTTCGGCTTCACGTACTCCTCGCCTCAGGCCACTCCTTTGTCTACTCGCCACTCGCTCTCAGCTCTGCCTTCGGATGAGTCCGTAGAGCCGAGTGGCCCGTATCCAGAGCTTGTTGGCTGCCTCATGTACCTGATGACATGCACACGACCTGACCTTGCATACCCTCTTAGCATCTTGGCACGCTATGTTGCTCCTGGGAGACACCAACCAGAGCACATGGCTGCAGCGAAGAGGGTGTTGCGCTACTTGTGCAGTACCTCGGGCATGGGGCTAGTGCTTGGAGGGCGACGTCGAGTGGTCCTCACAGGTCACGCAGACGCTTCTTGGGCTGACGACCAGGCTACGCAGCGGTCGTCACAGGGTTACACATTCAGCCTTGGCTCCGGCTTTGTTTCCTGGCGGTCTACCCGCTCGTCTTCTGTTCTCAGCTCCAGCTGTGAGGCCGAGATTTACGCGGGAGCCATGGCTGCACAGGAGCTACGCTGGCTCATCTACTTGTTAACTGACCTAGGAGAGCGGCCTCGTTCTCCTCCAGTTCTGTACGTAGACAACAAGGCCATGCTGGCCTTGTGTCGGGAGCACAGACTGGAGCACAGAACGAAGCACATTGCTCTTCGCTACTTCCTTGCTCGTGACCTGCAGCAGTGTGGTCAGCTGCGCCTTGCTTACGTGGCCTCTGAGGCCAACACTGCTGATATCTTTACCAAGGCACTTCCGCCTGGTGATCATCAGCGCTTCTGTACGATGCTAGGTCTTGTGCCTACTTTGCCTCACTTGCTCACTTCTTGACCTTGCTTGTACTGTCGTCTTTCTATACCTGCACTTGCTTGTTTACCTTTTTTTTTATCTTCCATATGAACTGGCATTTTGGCCTTGCTCTTGTACTCGAATTGTATGGTGACGTTGTGATCCACCCTGAGCTTACTTTGCTTTGCTTGAATGGTCTTGTGACCTCTTGTTCTCCCCCACTTTGCCTATGGGGGTGTGTCAAACTTCTATGCTATAGTCTATGCAGGCTGTAGTGGGGTAGACTATATGGAGTACAACATTTCTAAGTTTTCCTACTTGTACCCACCTGCTTGCTAGTTCATTCATTCCTCATTCTTCACATTTTGAACAATATCTCTATTTATCATTCATAGATTTACTATATTTGCGGGCATGCTGGTCAGTTTTGGTGTCATAAGCAACACATGGTAGGAAGGAAGCTACGGTGTTTCTAAACCATCGAGCAGGTAGAACTGCGTAACGATAGACATATGTGCAACATGGTGTCATATCAGCGTCCGATTGTCGGTTCGAACAATATTTATCTTGGTCACTCATACATCTTTACTATTTCCGAGCATTTCTGCACAGATTTGGTGCCGTTCGCACCACGTAGAAGGAACATATACGATTTCAAACAATTGAGCAGCGAAAACTGTGCGATGATAGGCATGTGTACGATGTGGTGCTGTATCGTTAAGCGATGATTATATCAATCATTAATACATTCACTCTACTTGTAGGCATGCTCGGCAGATTTCGTGTCATTCGCAGTTCTTGGTAGGAATATATGGTGGTTCAAAGAACCGATTACTGAAAATTGTGCAAGGATAGGCCTTTGTAATTATATGAATATTATAATAGCAATGAAAGTTTAAAGTGTTCAGTTTCGGCTGAAATATACTTTACAATGATAAAACCGCATACATTTGTTACAGATTGTGATACTTTGTGGGAAATAGAAATCGGATTTTGGAGAGAAATGGGAAAGTACGAGGCCGGTCAATATAACTGCATATACTGTAGACTCTTGGACTGGCCACCGCTTTGGTCAATCCTGCACACGTCATTTCAATACGCCCCCTGCTCAAGAGCGCGAACACGTCATCGTTGAAGTGTTCTGTCATTGGTGTACTCATTTTTTACCCACCTTGTTGGCGATATGAATTCTTATGATTGGTCCTTTCTCGCCGTCAAGTATTCAGTTACGTGCTGCTGAACTGAACAGCTTGCACAGTTGCGCTAGACTACGATCTAGTGCAGCTGCGCAATTGCTGCAACTGCCACCTGCGCGCAATTGCTGGAACTGCCTAAAGCGCACCTGGGACATGCAGCACTGCAAGCGCAACTTTCCCCTCCCCCCCGCAACAGCTCAACCCACCCAGCACAAGCAGCAGCCAGCGCGACTGCGCAAGCGCAGCTGCTCTGCTCACGGGGCAACGGCAGCAGCAGCTGGTGCACCTTGCGCAGCAATCCTTCCCTTCTTCCTCTTTCAGCGTCCCCTTCCGTCACTTTACGCATTTTTCAATCTTCTTTCCTCCCTCGCCTTCGTAACTCGTCTCTTTCCTCTGCTTTCCACCACGCTCAATGTCGATTAACAGGTACGTAGTATCGTTTCCATTCAAGTCATCGGTTTCTAGTAGCGATGTTATTTCACTCTTCGGCGCTTCGTTTTTACTGGTGCAGAACTGATTGATGTGTGAAAGCTCCGCAACACGTCCGACGCGAGCGTCGCTTCTCTGCTGTTTCTTCTTTCCTGAAACTTGTGATGGGTTCGCATTTCAATCATTCCTCGGCTTCCTCGGTTTCAACCGCCCTCGACTACGCGACTCCTGCATAATCCACTGTTTCCACCAGTCACTATGTCTATTATCAGGTACGCAGCCGTTAGTACTACTTGGTTTTGTGTTTGTGTTATGTCATTCATTTCTGGTAGTGCTCGTAATGACCTCTTTTGCGTTGCGTTTTCTCCGATGCAGAAATGATTAATGCGGAAAATTTTAGGAACACGTCCGGCTTGATAGTCATTTTTCGTGTTATCAACCAGAAAATTATGGAAAGTCGTTCGCATTTTATTTAGTTTTCATTTCGTTCCCTCTTTACCAACCAACGTCCTTGGTGTTTGATTTTGCAGACCATCACGTCAAGCTTTTTTCGATCTCGAAAGTCAAATTCTTCGACGCCATTGCACGTACGTATTTACGTGACATGTTTTGTTTTTCTACTAACTACGCCATTCTGTTCCTTCTGCAGCAACAGTAAGTGTGGCTGCGTCCTGGACTGGAGCAGCAGCAGCAGCAGGAGCAGCAGCTGCAGCAGTTGCAGCAGTTGCAGCAGCAGCAGGAGCAGCAGCAACAGCAGCAGCAGTTGCAGTAGCTGCAGCAGCTGCAGCAGCAGCCAAGATCATTTTTTTGTTTTTAATTGTTTTGGCACCACATTTTGTTTAGGCACATGATGTCATGCTTCTGTATCATTTATTGAGTTTTGTATGTTCTGCAACGTTTTAATATGATTTGTACAACAATCACTTAGCAATACCGTGTCGTGTAATAGAATTATGAGCAATTAAAAAGTGTATGATGTAAATCCAGTCTCGAAGATTAATATTATATTGTCGGTTTTATGGCCGAAATCATTAATAA